ATGAATGGCTCAGATTGATCAGATTTTAATTTTTTCTTTAGATTTCCTAATTTATCCTTAATGAATATGATTTTCCGTTAAATATTATCTTTTCCGTTAATTTCTGTTAGTTCACCGTTAACTTACTCATTGATTTCAATAAAAAAAAAAAAAGTCTTACGTTCGAACCTCATCCCAATTAAAGTTGGCATAATTAGTACTCTATTTTACTCTTATTAAATTAAATAATAATTTAGTAGTTACAACAAAAAATAATACATATGCATTTCTTTAATTTAGAATTATGTGTCTACAATGTCTTTATTCAAAAATAAATAAATTATTCATTATCAATAAATTAAATAAGAGAAATAATTTCATTAGTTGTATTATCTTTATTTTTTTCAATATAAAAATTCTTTACATTTAAATTCATCAATTGATTGTATTCACTACATTGTCCCTAAAATGTCTTTATTAAAAAAAAATTATTAATTATCAATAAGTTAATTAAATAATTTTATTAGTCATATTATATTTATTTTTCTCCAATGTAAAAACTCTTTACATTCAAATTCATTAATTGATTATATTCACTACATTGTCTATTATTTTTTTTGTGCACTATTTTTTTAATTAAATATAAAAGTTATAATACAAAATAATGCTATATAATTATTATCAATTATTTTATTAATACCATGAAAAAATTAAAAATATATATCTATTATTATACTAATAAAAGCCCAAGAGAGTTTTTTTTCTAACTGTTAACTTTTCCGTTAAATATTATCTTTTCCGTTAATTTCTGTTAGTTCACCGTTAACTTACTCATTGATTTCAATAAGAAAGGTCTTAGGTTCGGACCTCATCCCAATCAAAGTTGGCATAATTAGTACTCTATTTTACTCTTAGTAAATTAATTAAATAATAATTTAGTAGCTACAACAAAAAATAATACATATGCATTTCTTTAATTTAGATTATTGACAAAAAGAGTATTCAAATCACACAACAAATTGAAGTGAGAAACTATCTCGCAATGTCCTTGTTTCGCAATCAGCAATTGGCTCTTCAATATTAGAATATATTTAATATTTTATGCCCTAGTTTTTATTTGTTCTCCCTTATGCCCTGTATTTAGTCTCAACTATACCTATACAATTATTTTATTGACAATTATAATTAATCTTGACTATATTATTTTGCATTTATAAACTTAGATTTGCATATTTAAACACACAAATTTAACATTCAATTATCTATGCATGAACAATTCCAATATAATCTTGCCTTGATATACTTTAAAGTACTTTTTTTTTAAAAAAAAAAAAAAAAGAAGAAAACATTGGGCATTATCCCAATCGCGGAATGCGCGTAAAAACTAGTATATTCATAAATTTTGAACTCTATATTCTCAATTTTTAAATTTTATATTCAAAAATTTTTAACTCTATATTAAAAAAAAAAAAACAATTATTGGCTGAGAAACGGTGCCATTAACGACACTGTTATTCCAGATGCGCGTTTTTGACTTGGGTCTACCTTACAAGGTGGACCCGGGTCTATGGCATAACAATTGCCCAATCTCATTATATACAATGGTGGTTATGCAGTGCAACCGTGTACACCATGCACACCGTTGCAAAAACGACGTCGTTTTGACTAAAAACGCGCGTCCCACTTAAAAAAAAAAAATCAGTTTCGATTCCCCTCAATAGAATTATGTTGTTCATTCATTTTGGATTTTTAGTTCATTCATTATGAATTTTTAGTTCATTCATTCTGGATTTTTATTTCATTCATTCTGGATATTTAGTTCATTCATTCTGGATATTTAGACGGAAATCGAAACTGATTTTTTTTTTCATTCATGCTGGATATTTAGTTCATTCACTCAGGATATTTAATTCATTCATTCTAGATATATAGTTCAAATTATGTACAACATAATGTTGTTGTCAGGAATCGAAACTAAATATTTTTTAAGTAAGACGCGCGTTTTTAATCAAACGATGCAGTTTTTATAACCCTATAATTTGCCCAATCTCATTATATATGCGTGTTAATTGGGATAAAATGCACGGCCCAGTGGGCTTACTGGACATATGAAGAGTGAAGAGGATAATGAGACAGTTGGGCCTATATACCGTTCGGCCCACTCAAAGGAAATTGGCAAATTATTGTGTGGACCGTGTTATGTGGTCCATAACAAAAATTACATTTTTATTATATTAAATGTACATTATTTTTATGTTGTATATACAGTATACTAAATAATATACACTCAGTACAAAAATAATGTACATTATTTTTGTACTGAATGTACATTATTTTACAGTATACAAAATATGATCCATACAACTTGTGTGAACCATGGTCCACACAATAATGATTGAAGGAAATTGTTGGATCCACGAACATTATTGCAGTTTTTAGCCACTCCTTATACCATTCACCAGGGCGCACAATGCATTGTGCGCCGGACCAAAACGATGTCGTTTTTATTGTTCAGATTTTATGTGTATTATGTTAAAAGTTTATGTGTATTATGTTAGATTATATGTATTCAGTTATGAGTTTATGTGTATTATGTTAGATTATGTGTATTCTGTTATGAGTTTATGTGTATTATGTTAGATTATGTGTATTTTGTTATGAGTTTATGTGTATGCTATTATGAGTTTGTGTACATTCGAAACAGAGATTTTTTTTTTTTTTTTGAATTTAACAGTAGAAACAAAATTTCTAAAAAAATATAGGATCAAAACAGCATTGTTTTAAGTATGATGCACAATGCATTTTGCGCCTTGGTGCACGGTATAATTTGCCCTTTTTAGCAACAACTCCTAGCATTATTGTCTTCACTTCTCCCCATCCCATTTTCGTTACCACAAGGTACAATATTGTAAAAAGAGATTCTTTGTACAAAAAAAAAAAATAGGTTTGCACACCCTGATACGACAAAATTGTGTATGAATAAATCACGGCAACTAAGTGACTTATTAAGTGTGAGAATCAGTGTTTGGTGCCCACAAAAAGTCACCTCACAAAAGGGTGAAACTCTCACACTGCGGCTGTCAAGGTTTAATCCTGCGTCCTTGCCCACAACTATACATTTAGAAGTAATATTGCAGTTTACACACCCTTGTATTATATATTTCTTTAAAAAAAATATTTTTTACTCATAAAATTTCCTCATTATATGAATTATAACTATAGAGTGTCTATAAATTGACTGTGATCATTAAGTTTTAATGAAAGACTCATGTCACAAGAAAAAAGAATGGGAAGGGAGAAAAACATTACTTCTTCTTTAATTTTTTTTTTTTTGAAGGAATTAATATTATTATTTATAATATCTACAATACATGCTAAAACTAGTACATTGTGAAAATCCATCATTTCGCATTGATACAAATCGCACTATAATGTGGGTCATGAGTAAATCTTAATACACGTGTATATATTCGATACTGTATAATTGTTTATCATAAATATGCCATGCGTTTTAGTCGGTATTTCTTTAGGAATACGCAATTAATAGAGAATCGTATTCGGCTATGAAAGGCAGGATTTGATAGCAGGTTTCCATGTTTTAAAAGGCAGCTATCATATATGCAAATAATAATAATAATAATAATAATAATAATAATAATAATAATAATAATTCTGAAAGAGTAATTGATTGAGTGAAATATGATTTTTGTATATTAAAATCACGAATTCAATTCTTATCATTAATAATTTCTAGATCGAACCAGAGCTATTATACATGAACAGACTTTACATGATGCATACCATCGAATAATAATGGTTGTAGATTTTCCTTGTCACATAATAATAATAATAATAATAATAATAATAGTAATAATAATAATAGTAATAATAATAATAATAATAATGCGTAACATTATATTATATATTATATTAAGAATGAATATATTCCCATTCAATTCAATACATCAAGTTCCATCATATGACAAGAATTATTCTAACATTTTGCAGCCAGCCAGCGGCCCAGCTTCCTCATATTACACATTACAGCGTGCACGCCATGCATGCATACCATTTCCGAATACCATGGATTATTGGACTCTATATATATATATATATATATATATATATATATATATATATTGAGTACTATTGACAATGTTACTCTATTACAATGTAGTATCTGTCAATACATACTTTCTCAACCTACTGAAGCACAAAGAGTCGATGTCCCAACTGGAGTTCGAATTTGTAACCTTCCATTTGGGAGAGCCACATTTATGCTGCCCGACCACAAGGTCTTTGGCAAATAATATATATCTCACCCAAAATAGTCGAGCAGCCACGAGAATAAGGAGAAGTGTTGGATAGATGAGCGGTTGAATGTGGGAGTCAGTCAGAGAGAAGAAAACTAGCCAACTAGAAGTACATGTGAAGTCGGATTGGTCGGACGGAGGTAAGAGTGTTGACTCGTCGATTGATTACTCCGGTGGTCGTAAAACTACAAGAATTAAGATATCTAATTTAAGTTTTGTCTAGCTTATAAAAACTTAATTGCCTTTTGGCCTATACTTGAAAGGGTCTATTTGATCATTTTTCTTATTTTTTTATTAATTTTTTTCTCCATCAACTTATTGTTGTGTGATTTACTCATAACATAATCAATTAAGTTGTAAAATTTGACTAAACCAACTTAGATATAATAATAATATTCTATTAAAAGAATTTTATACGAGTAGCAATGTGGCATTTTCCTGTTTAGTGAAATTGTTTTTTTTTAAGAGGAACTTAAATATTTATCAATAAATCATTACAGAACTCTTTATTTTTTTTTTTCTAAATTTTCGAAATAAAATTCCAAAATCATATCCAGGAATGTGATCTACAAAATGAAATTAATTGCATCGATTTACGGATTTACATTTTCTGCGCACCAAAATTTGCAGGGTGGAATTGTTTAATAACTGTACATAATAATCTAACTTTATTTTCAATTTTAGGCGGTACTGAGATTGGCTATGAGCCTACGAAGATTGAAGAACAATATCCAACTTCTCTTCCTGATGAAACTTAATTTGCTTAGCAATGAAATCCTCTATGGCTCTCTGGAACTCCTCATTGCTCAGATTTTCAACATCCAGTGCCGTGTCCGTCGGAGCGTTGCTTGGATCTGTTACTTTCCGGCATTTCTCCGTTACCGTTCGCTGCAGCTTTCCGCAACTCTCCTCTCCCGATTTCTCTACGTTTAACTCGTCAGATCGAGTCCGCTTCCGCGGAACTCTCTGTTCAAAACCGGTCGTTCGGGAATCTTCGAGATTTGGAGCGACGAGAGTGCTGGTATCGGAAATCGTTTGCTTGTCCTGGTAAACGATCTCCGGCGGTTCCGTAACCGAATCGGAGTTTGCAGAGGTGACTTTCATGGAATAGTCGTGAGTGTTTTGGATGAGCGAGTTGTAGATTTTAGTCTCCTCGGCGGCGTGGCAGGTAATAGGAGATTGGCCGGAGAGGCGACCGGACTTGAGGAGCAGAGTGAGGACGATGAAGTTGCCGAGAAGGAAAATGAAGAGCGGACTGATGAAAAACGAAAAGGCTAAACGCAAATAGTCGCAGGAGATTTGAATGAGAAGAGGCAAGCGAGTGGAGGTCCAGGAGAGCCAAAGCAGGCCGAAACAGAGCTCGATCAGCCGAAAAAGCATGGTGAAGCTTTTGAAATGGTCAAATTTCATGATCGATTTCTCAGAGTTGTTGAAATTCATAGCGTCCTCCATGTAAATGTACTGCGTGAAGCTAGCTAGAAATGTGAAATCAGAGAGAGAGAGAGAGAGAGAGAGAAGATGGGACTTACACTTACTAAGAAGCGTAGAGGAGAAAAAGCTAGCTAGCTAGAAAGCAGCAATGTGTTGTCCGTGACCATTCACTGCTTTTGCTTTTGCTTTGACCACAAAAGTTTTGTAGAATAGAAGAGCTTCATTTCCATGAAAACTTCCTCGCTTTATATAGAGGGGGAGTCCAAAGTACAATGTGTTGCGGCTTGCGCCCACCAACTCTTTTTCTAATCCTAAATTTTTTACAATTATGCGCCCCTATTACCCCATCACTTGTCACTGCAAATGCTAACCTCAATAATTCTATTTGGTTGAAACCCAACCCTAAGGCCCCTCACACCCCGACTTGACAGAGCATTTGCGATGATGTAAATCATGGTGACTCAACTGAATATGAACCACAGGGGCTAGACCGGTGCTTACTGCGTACAAGGAGCCCCCTCACTTTGAGAGGTTGCTCGCTGGTGAGACTCGATCCCTGGTCATTCTTCCAAAGTTTCACCTCTATGACCAATTGAACTACCATGCGAGCAAAACTTCACAAATGAGTGCTTTAGAATTTGAACTATTAACCATTTTATATACTCAATTTTAATTTTTTCTTATTTTTTCTGAGCCCCATCATCCACCTCATTATTTACTATCTACTCAATTTTAAAAATTATTTTTTTCACTAATTCTAATTTTTTCTTATTTTTTATGAACCCACCATTTTACTTTACTATATTTTAATTCTTTTATTTATTATCATTCTAAAAATTATAATTACATATATTATTTTTATTATATTTAAATTAAACATGTCAAACTTTTAATTAATTTATAATTATAAAATTTCAATTTAAATAATATGGTATATATTATATTTATATTGCATAATTTTTTACAAATTTAACAACAAAATTGAATTTAAAATTAACAAAATTTATGAAAAAGAAGAAGAAGAAGAAGAAGAAGAAGAGGATGGTCGTTGCATAGCAACAACCAAAAATTAAAAAAAAAAAAAAACAAAAAACAAAAAACAAAGATAGTAACAATTTCAGTGTGACCGCCAACTTGCAAGTTGCAACCACTCTAGGGCAATAATGTGCTCAAACGCAAAAAAAAAAAAAAAAAAAAAAAAAAAAAAAAAAAAAAATCTCCCAAAATTTTCTTCTCCCATTAACCAAAAACTCATCTCAATTTTTTTCTGTCTGTAAAAATCATAAAAAAATGAAATTAAGTGGAATGCTCAAGCACCTACAGGAAATATAGGGTAGGCCCCGTGTCAACACAATTACTCACAAATTTCACAAAACATAAAAACTTAACAATTGCAATAATTCAAGAACACAAAATGTACCTCTCTTCTTCTTCTTCTTCTTCTTCTTCTTCTTCTTCTTCTTCTTCTTCTTCTTTTTTTTTTTTTTTTTTTTTTTTGGAATTAAAAAATGTACTTTTATTACTTTGCATGGGGTATTCCGTATTCATACACCTACTCTGCTCATAAATGTTGCTAATTATTACACAAGAATTTATTGAAATAACTGTTCATCATTTAAGTCTTTATTATTGAGAGGAAAACGCCATTTTCTAACCTGTTCGATTACCTCAAGCCTACCGTCGTCAAGTCGGCCGAGCATGCCCAGTCAATGCAAAACTAGTATGACTTCTCCGACCAACTAACAATGCCCAGTCTCTCAACCCATCAACTAACACTCATTATAATGAAAAATATTATACATGTGACATGATAATTGAAATATTATACTCCGTATTAAACTTGGATTGATGAAATGCCAGCACAGCTGAGGTGCTTGCAAGTTGCAACCTTGGAGTAGTTCATCGCGCTAAGCTAGTTAGGGGTAGTTGGTTTTCCGGGTGATAATGGCAAAAAATTACTATGAGGGTGCTTGGTAAATAGTTATTAGTTGATTGGGTTAGTGGCTTTGACTAATTGATAGCATTAGATGATTGGTAAATTAATTTTTAACTGATAGTTAATTACATATAAAATGATTTTTTCACAAAACTACGTGAACATCTTTTTAAATTTTAATATTTTGAAATAATAAATTATTATAAAAAATTAATTAATCAAACACAAGTTAAACAGCTAATAATAGTTAAATAAACAAAAATTGACTAATAAGCTAATTATATTATCAAACACCATTACCAGGACTATGTGGTCTAATGGTATCCGGGTTGGACTTCCATTTGGAAGATTATGAGTTCAAGCCTCGGCGGAGGCGTTATTGGTTCTTTGTATTTCAGTAGATTGAGAAAGTATATGAACAGATACTACAATGTAATAGAGCCAGTAACTTTCAAAAAAAAAAGAAATAAAAAATATTATCAAACACCATTGCATATGACAGTAAACTTTCGATCTCTACCTAAATACCTAATATAAACGTACTATTATTAAAACTTACAGTGGAGTGTGTGTGTGTGTCGCAGCTGCTGCATGGGACCCCTACCCATGACCCATCCAACCTAAGAATCTGCAGGGGATGCAGGAAGATCAGAAGCTTTGATAGATGGGTTATACTGTGGGATATATGACCCTAAATAGTAGTCAAAAGTGTCTTTGAAGACCATTGCCCTGTAGTCTAAGGACACACTCCTCCCCAGCTTTCAAAAACACTTCAGATCAGAATTCCCATAGTTTTATTTTAATTTGCAGGTAGATATGCACGCTCCAAACTTTCATTTCACGATTCGACGGACCAGTGAAAACATTTAATTATGATTTGTACCATACATTATTGAAGCTAAGTCATGACTGATCGTTGGGAGATTCAGACCCTGCAGCTACGTACTATACGCTCACTCACACAATCTACTCTTCTCATCTGTACTAATTAATATAGGTGCGTGCTAGCTAGTGTTTTGAGTTTATTTGATTCGATCATTTATCCATAAGATTCAAATTACACTAGGTACTAAATAGTTTCAAACTTTATGAACGAAATAACAAACCGTAAGTATTGAGATCGAAATCTCCATCTTTAGTATGTGTTTATTAGGGCATCCATAATGCTAAAGGATGTTTTCCTAATACACATGTTAGCTTGTAAAAATCAGCCTAGGCGCACCTAGATCGAAGCGATTTCAGTCTTAGACGACTTTCAGTTGGCTGGTCGATTAGACGTCGAGTTGGTCCCCAGCTAAGATGAGTTAGTGTCAAACTCGGTCGAATGGTATTTTTTGTCTGCTCGGTTACTCTTCTTTTATATTCTTCCAGTTATGTACTCAACTAATCATCTAACATATGTAATTACTAATTTTTAGAATTATAATAGCCTAACAATTCACCTAGTAGGAAAAGTGAAGACGATATACTTGAATTACTCTATCGCCTAGGAAACGCCTAGGCACTAGGCGCCCCAGGACGCCCGAGTAGTGCCTTGCACCTTCTGCAACATCGGCTAGCACACAATTAATTAGGTCCCTTGTTTAGATTGCGGATAAATACAACAAACATGCATTATAAAAGGTGTAGGTCAGATATTTACTGCATTGAATATACCCTATTCTCAAATCTCAAGTGACTAAAAGAATTTATTGTTCTATTGCTCTTCTTATTCGTCTAATTAATCATCTTAGCTTGTATCGAATTCCATTAATTTCTGGGGATGCCCTAAGTGCTGTGGAAGTGATACAATGCATGTGGTAATGATGAATTGGATGGATAAAAGGCAACATCATATCCAAACCAATTGTTTGTCAACACATGAACAGCGAAAGATCGAGAACACAGATCGATAGATATATTCCAGTAAGGACTGGCTTTGAATAATATAAACCAAATAGATGAACATCATACGTGTAAAGAACAGCAAAGAATATTATTTGCAAAATAAAGGGCATTTGAAGAATTGGCTTAGTCATCATCTTTGATATAAAAACTATACCCACCAAAAATATCCATGATATTATTCTTTTTTTTCTTTTATCAAACATATTCTGTGGTTTTAGTGAGCTCCCCATAAAGTTGCGATACAGACAACCTCTTATACATGTCTTTCTCTTGGTTTACTTAGAAAGTATGACAAGCACTTTAAGAATATATGATAATGTTCCAACATTCATATACGGTTCTACAATTCTCGGGGAATTTATTGCATTGCCTTAAATGGAGTGGCAACATTACTCTTCCTATGCTTGCCCAACAAAGCTAAATTCCATCATCCTTGGACATCCGCACCCAAACCAACAGGATAGTGGATGGTAAATCATGACAACTCAAGGGTTCATTAAGTGAGAGGACTAGTCACTACGGTCTACAAAGAGCTCACTATATTAGATGAAACTCTCACATTGCAGTTGTCAAAGACTCGAACTTAATTATGTTCATACTTGACTTACAATTTACTATTCAGGAAGTAGTTGAATTGCCATTATTGACTAGACTCCCTATGCGTTTTGGCATGCATGCAGGTGCATGTGTGATTTAATTCCATGTTTAAAGAGCTATATGCACGCACACATATATACATACTCACGCACACGTGCCCGCACGCGCGCGCCCGCGCGCACACACACACACACACACATATATATATATATATATATATATATTGATGGAATAATATTTCATATTATTTATGAAGAAGGATGTAGTCAAATAAGAGAGAGTCAAGCTAGGACGATTGTGGCATTTATATTAGAGGAAGTTGCAACTGAAAAACGAAAAAAAAAAAGAAATGATCTTGTATAAAAAGGCTGAGGGATTAGACTAAGGATCTCAGGCTCATTTTCGGTCTTAAATAATTTTTCTTTTACGTACTTTTCTCCTTTGTCACTTAATGGTCATGACTACCTATGTACATATACTTTCAATATATATATTGGATTTCGATTTTGCTTAGTCTAAAAGGACTATGATTTTTACCGTTATGATTTTCAAGTTAAATATGTGTGTAACACTATATTATTTGCCTTTTATCTATGAAAAA